AGAACCATCAAAAAACGTTGAAATATAGTTCAAATTCAATAAAAATCGACAAAAATACAGTTTCTAGCTAAAATTTGATGGTTTCGTTGCACTTTCCGAGCCCGTAGGGTATCTGAGTGGCTTAAAAGTACAAGAAAACACTTCAAAAGTGACGTTTCTGAAGAATTTTAACAGTTTTCTTGTATCTACGAACGCCAGAATGCATAAAATTGACCTAAACGTCTCCTTTTCCTATTCTGAGTCGATTCTGCATGCTTTAAGTGTGTTTGGTGGCTCAGAACCATCAAAAAACGTTGAAATATAGTTCAAATTCAATAAAAATCGACAAAAATACAGTTTCTAGCTAAAATTTGATGGTTTCGTTGCACTTTCCGAGCCCGTAGGGTATCTGAGTGGCTTAAAAGTACAAGAAAACACTTCAAAAGTGACGTTTCTGAAGAATTTTAACAGTTTTCTTGTATCTACGAACGCCAGAATGCATAAAATTGACCTAAACGTCTCCTTTTCCTATTCTGAGTCGATTCTGCATGCTTTAAGTGTGTTTGGTGGCTCAGAACCATCAAAAAACTTTGAAATATAGTTCAAATTCAATAAAAATCGACAAAAATACAGTTTCTAGCTAAAATTTGATGGTTTCGTTGCACTTTCCGAGCCCGTAGGGTATCTGAGTGGCTTAAAAGTACAAGAAAACACTTCAAAAGTGACGTTTCTGAAGAATTTTAACAGTTTTCTTGTATCTACGAACGCCAGAATGCATAAAATCGACCTAAACGTCTCCTTTTCCTATTCTGAGTCGATTCTGCATGCTTTAAGTGTGTTTGGTGGCTCAGAACCATCAAAAAACGTTGAAATATAGTTCAAATTCAATAAAAATCGACAAAAATACAGTTTCTAGCTAAAATTTGATGGTTTCGTTGCACTTTCCGAGCCCGTTGGGTATCTGAGTGGCTTAAAAGTACAAGAAAACACTTCAAAAGTGACGTTTCTGAAGAATTTTAACAGTTTTCTTGTATCTACGAACGCCAGAATGCATAATATTGACCTAAACGTCTCCTTTTCCTATTCTGAGTCGATTCTGCATGCTTTAAGTGTGTTTGGTGGCTCAGAACCATCAAAAAACGTTGAAATATAGTTCAAATTCAATAAAAATCGACAAAAATACAGTTTCTAGCTAAAATTTGATGGTTTCGTTGCACTTTCCGAGCCCGTAGGTTATCTGAGTGGCTTAAAAGTACAAGAAAACACTTCAAAAGTGACGTTTCTGAAGAATTTTAACAGTTTTCTTGTATCTACGAACGCCAGAATGCATAAAATTGACCTAAACGTCTCCTTTTCCTATTCTGAGTCGATTCTGCATGCTTTAAGTGTGTTTGGTGGCTCAGAACCATCAAAAAACTTTGAAATATAGTTCAAATTCAATAAAAATCGACAAAAATACAGTTTCTAGCTAAAATTTGATGGTTTCGTTGCACTTTCCGAGCCCGTAGGGTATCTGAGTGGCTTAAAAGTACAAGAAAACACTTCAAAAGTGACGTTTCTGAAGAATTTTAACAGTTTTCTTGTATCTACGAACGCCAGAATGCATAAAATTGACCTAAACGTCTCCTTTTCCTATTCTGAGTCGATTCTGCATGCTTTAAGTGTGTTTGGTGGCTCAGAACCATCAAAAAACGTTGAAATATAGTTCAAATTCAATAAAAATCGACAAAAATACAGTTTTTAGCTAAAATTTGATGGTTTCGTTGCACTTTCCGAGCCCGTAGGGTATCTGAGTGGCTTAAAAGTACAAGAAAACCACTTCAAAAGTGACGTTTCTGAAGAATTTTAACAGTTTTCTTGTATCTACGAACGCCAGAATACATAAAATTGACCTAAACGTCTCCTTTTCCTATTCTGAGTCGTTTCTGCATGCTTTAAGTGTGTTTGGTGGCTCAGAACCATCAAAAAACGTTGAAATATAGTTCAAATTCAATAAAAATCGACAAAAATACAGTTTCTAGCTAAAATTTGATTGTTTCGTTGCACTTTCCGAGCCCGTAGGGTATCTGAGTGGCTTAAAAGTACAAGAAAACACTTCAAAAGTGACGTTTCTGAAGAATTTTAACAGTTTTCTTGTATCTACGAACGCCAGAATGCATAAAATTGACCTAAACGTCTCCTTTTCCTATTCTGAGTCGATTCTGCATGCTTTAAGTGTGTTTGGTGGCTCAGAACCATCAAAAAACGTTGAAATATAGTTCAAATTCAATAAAAATCGACAAAAATACAGTTTCTAGCTAAAATTTGATGGTTTCGTTGCACTTTCCGAGCCCGTAGGGTATCTGAGTGGCTTAAAAGTACAAGAAAACACTTCAAAAGTGACGTTTCTGAAGAATTTTAACAGTTTTCTTGTATCTACGAACGCCAGAATGCATAAAATTGACCTAAACGTCTCCTTTTCCTATTCTGAGTCGATTCTGCATGCTTTAAGTGTGTTTGGTGGCTCAGAACCATCAAAAAACGTTGAAATATAGTTCAAATTCAATAAAAATCGACAAAAATACAGTTTCTAGCTAAAATTTGATGGTTTCGTTGCACTTTCCGAGCCCGTAGGGTATCTGAGTGGCTTAAAAGTACAAGAAAACACTTCAAAAGTGACGTTTCTGAAGAATTTTAACAGTTTTCTTGTATCTACGAACGCCAGAGTGCATAAAATTGACCTAAACGTCTCCTTTTCCTATTCTGAGTCGATTCTGCATGCTTTAAGTGTGTTTGGTGGCTCAGAACCATCAAAAAACGTTGAAATATAGTTCAAATTCAATAAAAATCGACAAAAATACAGTTTCTAGCTAAAATTTGATGGTTTCGTTGCACTTTCCGAGCCCGTAGGGTATCTGAGTGGCTTAAAAGTACAAGAAAACACTTCAAAAGTGACGTTTCTGAAGAATTTTAACAGTTTTCTTGTATCTACGAACGCCAGAATGCATAAAATTGACCTAAACGTCTCCTTTTCCTATTCTGAGTCGATTCTGCATGCTTTAAGTGTGTTTGGTGGCTCAGAACCATCAAAAAACGTTGAAATATAGTTCAAATTAAATAAAAATCGACAAAAATACAGTTTCTAGCTAAAATTTGATGGTTTCGTTGCACTTTCCGAGCCCGTAGGGTATCTGAGTGGCTTAAAAGTACAAGAAAACACTTCAAAAGTGACGTTTCTGAGGAATTTTAACAGTTTTCTTGTATCTACGAACGCCAGAGTGCATAAAATTGACCTAAACGTCTCCTTTTCCTATTCTGAGTCGATTCTGCATGCTTTAAGTGTGTTTGGTGGCTCAGAACCATCAAAAAACGTTGAAATATAGTTCAAATTCAATAAAAATCGACAAAAATACAGTTTCTAGCTAAAATTTGATGGTTTCGTTGCACTTTCCGAGCCCGTAGGGTATCTGAGTGGCTTAAAAGTACAAGAAAACACTTCAAAAGTGACGTTTCTGAAGAATTTTAACAGTTTTCTTGTATCTGCGAACGCCAGAATGCATAAAATTGACCTAAACGTCTCCTTTTCCTATTCTGAGTCGATTCTGCATGCTTTAAGTGTGTTTGGTGGCTCAGAACCATCAAAAAACGTTGAAATATAGTTCAAATTAAATAAAAATCGACAAAAATACAGTTTCTAGCTAAAATTTGATGGTTTCGTTGCACTTTCCGAGCCCGTAGGGTATCTGAGTGGCTTAAAAGTACAAGAAAACACTTCAAAAGTGACGTTTCTGAGGAATTTTAACAGTTTTCTTGTATCTACGAACGCCAGAATGCATAAAATTGACCTAAACGTCTCCTTTTCCTATTCTGAGTCGATTCTGCATGCTTTAAGTGTGTTTGGTGGCTCAGAACCATCAAAAAACGTTGAAATATAGTTCAAATTCAATAAAAATCGACAAAAATACAGTTTCTAGTTAAAATTTGATGGTTTCGTTGCACTTTCCGAGCCCGTAGGGTATCTGAGTGGCTTAAAAGTACAAGAAAACACTTCAAAAGTAACGTTTCTGAAGAATTTTAACAGTTTTCTTGTATCTACGAACGCCAGAATGCATAAAATTGACCTAAACGTCTCCTTTTCCTATTCTGAGTCGATTCTGCATGCTTTAAGTGTGTTTGGTGGCTCAGAACCATCAAAAAACGTTGAAATATAGTTCAAATTCAATAAAAATCGACAAAAATACAGTTTCTAGCTAAAATTTGATGGTTTCGTTGCACTTTCCGAGCCCGTAGGGTATCTGAGTGGCTTAAAAGTACAAGAAAACACTTCAAAAGTGACGTTTCTGAAGAATTTTAACAGTTTTCTTGTATCTACGAACGCCAGAATGCATAAAATTGACCTAAACGTCTCCTTTTCCTATTCTGAGTCGATTCTGCATGCTTTAAGTGTGTTTGGTGGCTCAGAACCATCAAAAAACGTTGAAATATAATAATAATAATAATAATAATAATAGATATATATTTGCCAAACAGCATAAGCCACAAGTAGGCAAAAGAAAAAAATACAAAATACATATATAAAAAACAATAAACAAATAAGTGTACAGATGCGCACAAAAACATATAGAAAAATATATAAACTAATTAGATAAAGATAAACTATTTTTTGTTAAACTCGAGAACAGCTTTACCTAGAATACATTTTAAGGAATCGAAGTTAAGATCACAATCTTTCGCAAATATATTAAAGTTGGAGCAAGCAACCGTGATAGGCGATCTCTTTAGGGCGTTACTTCTATTAAAGGTGCAATAAAACGTGCGACTACTTCTACTCGATAAACGAGGCACATAAAAATTAAGATAATCTAAAAGCAGGGGACAGTCAATATAAAAATTATTTAACTTATATACAAAATTAATGGATGATAAGACCCTCCTTGTTTCAAGTGACAATACTCCAAAGATAGACAAAAGGATGGAATGCTCAAAGTGTCTATGAGGGTAATAACCAAAACGTTGGCGATAAAGAAATTTCAGAAATTTACGTTGGATACGCTCTATCCCTTTAACCATATAGGAGTACACAGGATACCAAATTAGAGAGCAATACTCGAGTTTAGAACGCACCAAAGCGTAATATAGGGTCTTCAAACTATCGTTTCTATTTCTAAAATCAGAACAATTTCTGTATATGAAGCCTAAAACACGGCATGATTCCTTAATTTTAATGGTAATATGTTCCCTGAAGGTAAATTCAGTATCAAATGTCACACCTAAGTCAGTAGTTTTCGAGCAACGTTGTATTAAGTCATTATTAATGCTATAGTCAAACTGAGTAATCTGCCTTTTACGACTGTAAGATATCACCTTGCATTTACCAATGTTCAGAAACAGACAATTCTCGCAACACCAGTTATAAACTTTATCTAAATCATGTTGAAGATTTAAGCAATCGCTAAAACAATCAATTTTGGCGTATAATTTCAAGTCGTCTGCGTAGAACAATCTGTTACTATCCATTATGTCACTAAGGTCATTGATAAACAGTAGAAACAACAGGGGCCCTAAGTTGGATCCCTGTGGTACACCAGACGTGGCGAAAAATGGCAAGGATCTACTCTGTTGATAAACAAATATAGTTCAAATTCAATAAAAATCGACAAAAATACAGTTTCTAGTTAAAATTTGATGGTTTCGTTGCACTTTCCGAGCCCGTAGGGTATCTGAGTGGCTTAAAAGTACAAGAAAACACTTCAAAAGTGACGTTTCTGAAGAATTTTAACAGTTTTCTTGTATCTACGAACGCCAGAATGCATAAAATTGACCTAAACGTCTCCTTTTCCTATTCTGAGTCGATTCTGCATGCTTTAAGTGTGTTTGGTGGCTCAGAACCATCAAAAAACGTTGAAATATAGTTCAAATTCAATAAAAATCGACAAAAATACAGTTTCTAGCTAAAATTTGATGGTTTCGTTGCACTTTCCGAGCCCGTAGGGTATCCGAGTGGCTTAAAAGTACAAGAAAACACTTCAAAAGTGACGTTTCTGAAGAATTTTAACAGTTTTCTTGTATCTACGAACGCCAGAATGCATAAAATTGACCTAAACGTCTCCTTTTCCTATTCTGAGTCGATTCTGCATGCTTTAAGTGTGTTTGGTGGCTCAGAACCATCAAAAAACGTTGAAATATAGTTCAAATTCAATAAAAATCGACAAAAATACAGTTTCTAGCTAAAATTTGATGGTTTCGTTGCACTTTCCGAGCCCGTAGGGTATCTGAGTGGCTTAAAAGTACAAGAAAACACTTCAAAAGTGACGTTTCTGAAGAATTTTAACAGTTTTCTTGTATCTACGAACGCCAGAATGCATAAAATTGACCTAAACGTCTCCTTGTCCTATTCTGAGTCGATTCTGCATGCTTTAAGTGTGTTTGGTGGCTCAGAACCATCAAAAAACGTTGAAATATAGTTCAAATTCAATAAAAATCGACAAAAATACAGTTTCTAGTTAAAATTTGATGGTTTCGTTGCACTTTCCGAGCCCGTAGGGTATCTGAGTGGCTTAAAAGTACAAGAAAACACTTCAAAAGTGACGTTTCTGAAGAATTTTAACAGTTTTCTTGTATCTACGAACGCCAGAATGCATAAAATTGACCTAAACGTCTCCTTTTCCTATTCTGAGTCGATTCTGCATGCTTTAAGTGTGTTTGGTGGCTCAGAACCATCAAAAAACGTTGAAATATAGTTCAAATTCAATAAAAATCGACAAAAATACAGTTTCTAGCTAAAATTTGATGGTTTCGTTGCACTTTCCGAGCCCGTAGGGTATCTGAGTGGCTTAAAAGTACAAGAAAACACTTCAAAAGTGACGTTTCTGAAGAATTTTAACAGTTTTCTTGTATCTACGAACGCCAGAATGCATAAAATTGACCTAAACGTCTCCTTTTCCTATTCTGAGTCGATTCTGCATGCTTTAAGTGTGTTTGGTGGCTCAGAACCATCAAAAAACGTTGAAATATAGTTCAAATTCAATAAAAATCGACAAAAATACAGTTTCTAGTTAAAATTTGTTGGTTTCGTTGCACTTTCCGAGCCCATAGGGTATCTGAGTGGCTTAAAAGTACAAGAAAACACTTCAAAAGTGACGTTTCTGAAGAATTTTAACAGTTTTCTTGTATCTACGAACGCCAGAATGCATAAAATTGACCTAAACGTCTCCTTTTCCTATTCTGAGTCGATTCTGCATGCTTTAAGTGTGTTTGGTGGCTCAGAACCATCAAAAAACGTTGAAATATAGTTCAAATTCAATAAAAATCGACAAAAATACAGTTTCTAGTTAAAATTTGATGGTTTCGTTGCACTTTCCGAGCCCGTTGGGTATCTGAGTGGCTTAAAAGTACAAGAAAACACTTCAAAAGTGACGTTTCTGAAAAATTTTAACAGTTTTCTTGTATCTACGAACGCCAGAATGCATAAAATTGACCTAAACGTCTCCTTTTCCTATTCTGAGTCGATTCTGCATACTTTAAGTGTGTTTGGTGGCTCAGAACCATCAAAAAACGTTGAAATATAGTTCAAATTCAATAAAAATCGACAAAAATACAGTTTCTAGTTAAAATTTGATGGTTTCGTTGCACTTTCCGAGCCCGTAGGGTATCTGAGTGGCTTAAAAGTACAAGAAAACACTTCAGAAGTGACGTTTCTGAAGAATTTTAACAGTTTTCTTGTATCTACGAACGCCAGAATGCATAAAATTGACCTAAACGTCTCCTTTTCCTATTCTGAGTCGATTCTGCATGCTTTAAGAGTGTTTGGTGGCTCAGAACCATCAAAAAACGTTGAAATATAGTTCAAATTCAATAAAAATCGACAAAAATACAGTTTCTAGTTAAAATTTGATGGTTTCGTTGCAATTTCCGAGCCCGTAGGGTATCTGAGTGGCTTAAAAGTACAAGAAAACACTTCAAAAGTGACGTTTCTGAAGAATTTTAACAGTTTTCTTGTATCTACGAACGCCAGAATGCATAAAATTGACCTAAACGTCTCCTTTTCCTATTCTGAATCGATTCTGCATGCTTTAAGAGTGTTTGGTGGCTCAGAACCATCAAAAAACGTTGAAATATAGTTCAAATTCAATAAAAATCGACAAAAATACAGTTTCTAGTTAAAATTTGATGGTTTCGTTGCACTTTCCGAGCCCGTAGGGTATCTGAGTGGCTTAAAAGTACAAGAAAACACTTCAAAAGTGACGTTTCTGAAGAATTTTAACAGTTTTCTTGTATCTACGAAAGCCAGAATGCATAAAATTGACCTAAACGTCTCCTTTTCCTATTCTGAGTCGATTCTGCATGCTTTAAGTGTGTTTGGTGGCTCAGAACCATCAAAAAACGTTTAAATATAGTTCAAATTCAATAAAAATCGACAAAAATACAGTTTCTAGTTAAAATTTGATGGTTTCGTTGCACTTTCCGAGCCCGTAGGGTATCTGAGTGGCTTAAAAGTACAAGAAAACACTTCAAAAGTGACGTTTCTGAAGAATTTTAACAGTTTTCTTGTATCTACGAACGCCAGAATGCATAAAATTGACCTAAACGTCTCCTTTTCCTATTCTGAGTCGATTCTGCATGCTTTAAGTGTGTTTGGTGGCTCAGAACCATCAAAAAACGTTGAAATATAGTTCAAATTCAATAAAAATCGACAAAAATACTGTTTCTAGTTAAAATTTGATGGTTTCGTTGCACTTTCCGAGCCCGTAGGGTATCTGAGTGGCTTAAAAGTACAAGAAAACACTTCAAAAGTGACGTTTCTGAAGAATTTTAACGGTTTTCTTGTATCTACGAACGCCAGAATGCATAAAATTGACCTAAACGTCTCCTTTTCCTATTCTGAGTGGATTCTGCATGCTTTAAGTGTGTTTGGTGGCTCAGAACCATCAAAAAACGTTGAAATATAGTTCAAATTCAATAAAAATCGACAAAAATACAGTTTCTAGCTAAAATTTGATGGTTTCGTTGCACTTTCCGAGCCCGTAGGGTATCTGAGTGGCTTAAAAGTACAAGAAAACACTTCAAAAGTGACGTTTCTGAAGAATTTTAACAGTTTTCTTGTATCTACGAACGCCAGAATGCATAAAATTGACCTAAACGTCTCCTTTTCCTATTCTGAGTCGATTCTGCATACTTTAAGAGTGTTTAGTGGCTCAGAACCATCAAAAAACGTTGAAATATAGTTCAAATTCAATAAAAATCGACAAAAATACAGTTTCTAGTTAAAATTTGATGGTTTCGTTGCACTTTCCGAGCCCGTAGGGTATCTGAGTGGCTTAAAAGTACAAGAAAACACTTCAAAAGTGACGTTTCTGAAGAATTTTAACAGTTTTCTTGTATCTACGAACGCCAGAATGCATAAAATTGACCTAAACGTCTCCTTTTCCTATTCTGAGTCGATTCTGCATGCTTTAAGTGTGTTTGGTGGCTCAGAACCATCAAAAAACGTTTAAATATAGTTCAAATTCAATAAAAATCGACAAAAATACAGTTTCTAGTTAAAATTTGATGGTTTCGTTGCACTTTCCGAGCCCGTAGGGTATCTGAGTGGCTTAAAAGTACAAGAAAACACTTCAAAAGTGACGTTTCTGAAGAATTTTAACAGTTTTCTTGTATCTACGAACGCCAGAATGCATAAAATTGACCTAAACGTCTCCTTTTCCTATTCTGAGTCGATTCTGCATGCTTTAAGTGTGTTTGGTGGCTCAGAACCATCAAAAAACGTTGAAATATAGTTCAAATTCAATAAAAATCGACAAAAATACAGTTTCTAGTTAAAATTTGATGGTTTCGTTGCACTTTCCGAGCCCGTAGGGTATCTGAGTGGCTTAAAAGTACAAGAAAACACTTCAAAAGTGACGTTTCTGAAGAATTTTAACAGTTTTCTTGTATCTACGAACGCCAGAATGCATAAAATTGACCTAAACGTCTCCTTTTCCTATTCTGAGTCGATTCTGCATGCTTTAAGTGTGTTTGGTGGCTCAGAACCATCAAAAAACGTTGAAATATAGTTCAAATTCAATAAAAATCGACAAAAATACAGTTTCTAGCTAAAATTTGATGGTTTCGTTGCACTTTCCGAGCCCGTAGGGTATCTGAGTGGCTTAAAAGTACAAGAAAACACTTCAAAAGTGACGTTTCTGAAGAATTTTAACAGTGTTCTTGTATCTACGAACGCCAGAATGCATAAAATTGACCTAAACGTCTCCTTTTCCTATTCTGAGTCGATTCTGCATGCTTTAAGTGTGTTTGGTGGCTCAGAACCATCAAAAAACGTTGAAATATAGTTCAAATTCAATAAAAATCGACAAAAATACAGTTTCTAGTTAAAATTTGATGGTTTCGTTGCACTTTCCGAGCCCGTAGGGTATCTGAGTGGCTTAAAAGTACAAGAAAACACTTCAAAAGTGACGTTTCTGAAGAATTTTAACAGTTTTCTTGTATCTACGAACGCCAGAATGCATAAAATTGACCTA